GTAGCGATGCTGCTGACGATGCTGAGAGCGACCACGGGGCAGCCAGTGACGGCGCCGATGCTGATCACGCCGACGACAATGACGGCGTCTTCGCGTCGGTGATGAAAGTTCTGGAAGGAGTTCGAAATGTGCGCGCGGCAGACGCGCAAGTGGCCCGCATGGTATTATGTGACACGGATCGTGCCACCCCCGCACGCGCGCAAGGGCGTTCGAACGATTTGACGTGCGCCCGAGCGAAGCCCTTTTGGCAGAATTTCGTGAAAATGCTGACGGCCCTAAGGTTTGCTTAAGGATTCGCGAGAGCGCGCGCGCAAGCTTTCTTGGAAAATCCGTGTTGCGAAATCCTGTTTTTTTGTGTTTTGGTCACTCGATTTTGAAATCTCGCGAGGCACTTTGTTTTTTTTGGTGCACTTCGTTTCATTCGTTGCCAGGGATTCTCGCGACGGCACGTGCGCAAGGGCGTTCGACCGATTTCGACATGCGCGCGCGAAGCCCGTTGAATAGAATGTTCTGCAAAGATTGAAAAACCTATTGTTTTCTTAAGAATTTGCGAGAGCGCGCGCGCATGTTGTTTGTTTGAAAGTCCGTGTTGCGAAACCCTATGCTTTTATATGTTTTCGGACAATCGGTTTTGAAATTCTTCCGGAACCGAAGGTTATCGAAGGATTTCGGCATGCGCGCGCGACGACGCGCGCGTGTGCACTTCGTCCTATATTTCTGCAAGGGGATATTGAAAACTTATGACTTTTGATAAACGAAAATGCGCACAGTAGTTTTTTGCAGAAGATGGCGGGGGGGGCGATACCGGCCTAGCTGGGATAGAATAAGTTCGCAGGTAGGATGGACATTGGGTCAGAACCATGCGCAAATTGCAATACGAAAACATGAATATTCAACCCCGGGAGGGGGAGGGTGGTAGAACCTATTTGTTTGTCAAAAGGGGAGTCCAACGGCGGCGACAGGCGGCGACGAGGCGGCAACGGGGCAGCGGCGGCGGCACCATAGCCGCCAGACCGGCCACACGGCCCAGACGACGAGGCGGCGACGAGGCGGCGACGGGACGGCGACGGCCGGCACGGAGCCGCCAGATCGACACAGCAGCCCAGGCGACGGGCGGCGACGAGGCGGCGACGGGGCGACGACGGCCGGCACAGAGACGCCAGACCGAAGACGCGGCCCATTTCCCTAGAACAGAAGCAAGAGCCCCTAAGTGCAAGCACTGTTTGGGGAATCTCTAGAAGTACATACATACCTATACGACCACCCTGCGGGTGATAAGGAGGTTGGGGGGGGGAGGGGGGCCAGCAATGGGCAACAGTGGTGATTGTTGCGTTGCCGCTCGCTCTTGGGAGCCTTGGTGTCGAGTTGTTTACGTCATCCTTCGCCCTTGGGCGCCTTAGTATCATTTCCCCCCCCCCAGGGACCAACGAAATGATAATTGATTGAGTTCATTTTGCAAGGGTTTGGGGGGCCGTTTGGGCGCGTCTTTTGGACCTCTTGGGGGGTCTTGGAGGCCTCTGGGGGGCTCGGGGGCCTCTTGGGTGCCTCTTGGGAGCCTTTCGGGGATGGCGCACGCTTGCTGCTTTTCCGGCACCGCTTGCTTCGATCTCACAATCGATATCATCATTCATCTCACTATCGATCTCACTATCGATCTCACGATCGATCTCACTATCGGTCTCACTATCGATCTCACTATCGATATCACAATCGATTTCGTCATCGGTCTCACTATCGTTTTCGCACCAGCGGGACACCGGGACACCGGTGGGACACCCGCGGGACACCCGCGGGACACCGCGCGCCACCGCTTGCCAGAAGAAGAATCATTTGGTCCGGCCGGGAACCAGCCACAAGCGGGACACTGGCGGGACACCGGCGGGACACCAGCGGGACACCGCGCGCCACCGCTTGCCGGAGGGAGAATCATTTGGTCCGGCCGCACCTCAAACACAGGAGACCTTCCTCTCGCTCGCCCACGCAGCTTCGCCTCGCCCGCACGCACGGCACGCACGAACACGAAACCGAAACCGATTTCCCTGTTGGGGACTCTCCGTTCCACTTCGATATCACCCCCCAACCTCCGACATACATACATACATACATGCATGCATGCATACATGCATACAGACAGACAGACAGACAGACAGACAGACAGACAGACAGACAGACAGACAGACAGACAGACAGACAGGCAGGCAGACAGACAGACATACATATGTCCTTATCGAGCCCTCTCAGGGGTCCGCTTAAGGGCCTCTGGGGCCATCTTGGAACCCTCTTGGACCGTCTTGACGCCATCGTAGGCCATCTTGGAAAGCTCTTGTGCGGTCCTGGGCTCTCTTGGAACGCTCTGGGGCCAACCTGGAGCCGTATTGGACCTCTCTTGGGCCGTGTTGGGGGCCCGAGGCGCGTTAACGCCACGGCGAGCGGGCTTCGCCTCTCTTCTGCACTCCTCCCTGTAATTCTGGCTTCGCCCCTGAGAACGTCATCACTCGTACCTCACTCTTTCCGTCACCTGGGCCGACACGGGAACGTAAAGAGCGCTTCAGAAGTGGCCCGTGAGGGTTCACACCACCCTTCGCGAAGGGAACCTTGGCGTTCAGAGCTCTTTACGTCTTCGTTCGCACCAGGCGCCTTGGCGTGCAGGGCTTTCCGCGTCATCGGGAGCTCTTGGGAGCCTTAGCGTTCAAAGCTTCTTACGCCACCGACTCGCCTAGACATGCGTTTTCCGCCACCTGGGGCTCTTGGGAGCCTTAGCGTCAAAGCTGTGTCCGTCATTCGGAATTTGGCCTCTCTGGGCCTTCTTGGGGGTGCTTTCGGGTCGCTTTTGGGCTGTGTTGGGGCCCTTTTGGGCCGTCTTGGGGGGTCCTGGGGGGCCGTGGCCGTCTTGGGTCCCTCTGGAGGGGCCTCTTGTGGCACTCTTCGGGGTCTTGGGGGCCTCGTGGGCCGTCTTGAGGGGGGAGCGGTCGTGTTAGACCATCATGGGCGCGCTTCCCCCCTTCCCTGGAACCCCTCCTTAGAAGGCTTCGCCCCACATCGCCCCACCAGAACGTCATCACTCGGACCTCGCTCTTTCCTTTACCTGGGCCGGCACGGGAACGGAAAGAGCGTTTCAGGAACGTGCCCAAGAGGGCTCATGACACCGTTCGCTCTTGGGAGCACTGGCGTCCAGAGCTTGTTGCACGTTACCGTTCGCTCTGTGGAGCCTTTGTGTGAAGAGCTTTTTCCACGTCACCCTTAGCTCTTGGCAGCCTTGGTGTCAAGAGTTTGTTACGTTCGCTCTTGGGAGCCTTAGCGTGAAGAGTCGTTTTTGTCACCGCTCGCTGTTCAGAGCCTGGGAGTGAAAAGCTGCTTCCGTCACCGCTGGGGAGCCTTGGCGTTGAGAGCTGTTTACGTCACCGCTCGCTCTTGGGAGCCTTGGCGTCAAGAGCCTTCTGCGCCACTGCTCGCCTTTGGGACCCCTTGGCGTGCAAAAAGCTTTGCACATCACCGACTCGAGGGCTTCCCGGTCACCCGGAGCTCCTGGGAGCCTTGGCGTCAAAGCTGCGTCCCGTCATTGGGGCCGTCGGCCGGGCGGGTCCTCTGTCGTCTTGGGGGGCCTGGCCCATCTCGGGGCCCTCGAGGGGTCCCCTGCGGCTCTCCTGGCGGTCCTCGACGGCACTCCTGGGGGGCTCTCTCGGGAGCCTTGTGGGGCCTCCTGGGGCCCCTCTTAGGTCGTCTTTCGAGCTCGCTGTGGCCGTCTCGGGGCCCTCTTGGGCCGTCCTGGTGCCCTCTTGGGAGCCTCATGGCCCGTGCTGGGGCAACCTCGGAGGTCCTCAGAGCCGTCTTCGACAGATCTGGGCCTGAAAAGGCGAGAACCCCAAAACAATGAAAAACCTTAGGAACATCAATGTGCTGCGCCTCCTTAGGCCGTCTTGGGGATCCTCTAGGGAGCAGGTTGGGCCGTCCTGAGAGCCTCTTGGGGCCGTCTTGGGGGGCCGTCTTGGGGGGCTTGGGGCGCCTTGGGGCCCTCTTGGGCCCCCCTTGGGGCTGTCTGTGGCCGTCTTGGGGCCCTCTTGGGCCGTCCTGGGGCAGTCTCCTGGGCAATCGTGGGGCAATCTCGGAGGCACTCAGACCCTTTTTCGGCCGATCTGGGCCAGAAAGCACGAGAATGATGTACACTCCGCTGCAATACATCGTCCTTCAGTTCGCCTACGTCGTGCTGCCTTTGCAGGTGTTGGAGGTGATTCGCTATGCAATTTCTGCGGCATGGGAGTCGCGCTCAAAAATAAGAAGGATAAGTAGGAGAAGGAGGAGGAGGAGGAGGCAGGAGGCAGGAGGCCAGGACCAGGATTCAGGTTTGGGCGGCTATTGACCGTTTGGGACGCACAGGGACATACTAATACGATGTGTCCTCCTCGAAGGCGTGCGTCCGACCCGAGCATCTACTACAAGCATCTTGCAAGACATCGTCTCCCGAGCGGTACGGCCCGAAAGCGCCCGCCACAGAACGTCTACTGCAAGATTTCTCGGCGCGCGCGCGTCGCCCTCTTGGGGGTGACGCACGCTTTGTATCAGGTGATGTTTGGGTGGCGACGACTGCTTGGGCCTCCAGAGGCCTCCCGAGGACCACGAAGGAACAACAAAAAGTGGCGGTGCCCGCCTCTTGGTGCCTTCGGGGAGGGAGGGGCTCGTCGCCAACGGCTTGATTTGCCTTAGACCTTCTGGCCAGACGCGCCCCAGGAGAGATCGTCGAGGTCGTCGCCGCCGCCATCCAGGACGGCGGTTGCAAAGACGACGACGCCGACGACCATGACAACGACGACAACGACGACGACGACGACGACGACGATGATGAGATCGACGACGACGACGACGACGACGACGACGACGACGACGACGCCGCCGCCGCCGCCGCCGCCGCCGCCGCCGCCTGCCGCGGCTGCTGCAGCGACGACGACCACGGCGACGACCAGGAGGCGACGAGGCCCCGCCGCCCCCCCCCGAGGGAGGCGCGCCTCTGCGCCTGCGCCTCGCTGGCGGCGACCTCCAGGAAGCTCTCGAGCCTGCGGCACTCCTCGAGGGCCGCCTCGCGCGGGCGCGCGCGGGGGGCAGGCCTGCTCTGGCTTAGAGGCCTCCTGGACGGGGTCCGAGTCGATGGGGTCGGAGGATCGCGCCGCATCGGCGATGCAACGGCGACGTCGGCGATGCACCAGCGCCGTCGGCTCGGAAAAAGCCGGGCTCCGCATCGAGCCTGCGGCACTCCTCGAGGGCCGCCTTTGCGCGGGCGCGCGGGGGTGAAAGCCTGCTCTGGAGGAGCAGGACAAGGAGGCCGATGACGTTCTCGCCGTGACCCGTCGATCCCACGGGAAACCAAATCGCGCGCTGCAGAGTCCGGGTTGAAGCAGTGCGCACTGCGACATACATCGAGTATCCCGTCGCAGGGCATGGGACCCTCTGTCGGGGAGACGTAAGACTCGTGTTCGGGGGACTCGGGTTGGCCTGACGGGGCCATCGTGAAAATGACGAGGCCCAATCTGAAATTTGACGCGAGTTCCCGCTGCAAACATCCCACGAAAATCGGACCGTCAAAATCCAGGACGCGCTCGTCAAAAAACGTCGGCAAACCCGAGTTGGGGCTTCCTCGAGTCTTACGCTTCCCCGACTCTGCTCGCCCAGGCTGGGCGTACCTCGCAGGGGGCCCAACGAGCGGCAGGCCTGCGCGCGCTCGCCTCTCGAGGCCGAGGGAGGAGGAGGAGGAGGAGGAGGAGGAGGAGGAGGACGAGGACGAAGAGGAGGAGGAGGCGGAGGAGGAGGAGAAGGAAGAGGCCCTCCCCACGGAAGCTTATCGAGGCCCTCTTGGTGCCATCGGTGCCCTCCCAGGGCGGCGAGAGAAGCTTGTTGGGCCGAGGGCCGAGGCTCTGCTGACAGTCGAGTTTTTTTCTCCTGGCGTCCTCGGCAACCTCCTCCTAGATTCTCGATCCTCCTCCTCCTCCTCCTCCTCCTCCTCGATTCTCCTCCTCCTCCTACTCCTCCCCCCCCTCCTCGATTCTCGATCCTCCTCCTCCTCATCCTCCTCCTCCTCCTCCTCCTCCTCCTCGATGCTCGACCCTCCTCTTCCTCCTCCTCTTCCTCCTACTCCTCCTCATCCTCCTCCTCCGCCTCCTCCTCATGCTCCTCCTCCTCCTCCTCCTTGAAGACGTGCTTGGCCCCCAGCGTTGTTCAAACTCGCCGGCCCAACGGGCCAGAGGCGTGCTACAGTAGGAGCTCGACCACAAGAAACCTTCCACGGGAAACCCAACCCTGAGACCCCAGGATGTCCATTGACTTTTGGTGTGGGAGCGTCATGCTTTCCACAGCGACACCATCGAAACCCAAGAAACCCAGGGCACCCTGGAGGCAAGCAGGGTGTTTCTTGGCATGGGTTTCGTAAAATCTCTAAAACGAGGTTCAGAATAATTCTCGTTCGCGCGCGCGCGCTTGGCGGCCCCTGGGGGTCCCCGGACAAAACGTGCCCTGGGCGGTCCCGGGCAAGGTCTGGACCGCGGATATCTTGGAACTCCTGGGCGCGGCCATGGGGGCCCCCAGTGAGCCCCAGGAGCGCCCCAAGGAGGCGTCAAAGAGGTAGCAGGCCCAACGGCCTCAGGCCCAGAGCGCTCCAGGACGGCCCAAGATGGCTTCAAGACGGCCCAAGAGGCGTCCAAGACAGTCCAAGAGGGCGCCAACAAGACCCAAAAGGGCCCCAAGAGGCCAAAAGCAGTGATTTTGCGTGAGCGTGTCAAGTATGTTCAAGGACTCGGGCGCTACTTAGCCGGTTTCCGCCCGCCCAGGACGCGAGGCCATCGAGACCGCCCCGAGTCAGCCCACGAGGCTCCCGGGACAACCCCCGGACGGACCAAGAGGACTCCAAGACGGCCCAAGAAGCCCCCCAGGGGAGCTGCTGAGGCCCCCCAAGAAGGCCCCAAGAGGGGGAAATCCAGACTCACACATCGAGCCTTCCCCGAAAGATGGCGCCAGAGCCCGCCAGCAGGCCCCCGACAAGCCTCCGAGCCTCCCAAGAGGTCCCCGGAGACCCAGCAAGCTGCCGCACGAAGCCGCCAAGAGGCCCCAGGAGGTCGCAAAAATGCCGCCAAGAAGACACCGAGAGGCCTCCGGAGAGACCCCAAGAAGCCTCCCAAAGAGGCATCTGGTCAACTGCCACCACGAAGCCCTCGAGAGGCCTCCGAGGGGATCCCAAGAAGCCTTCCACAGATGCACCTGGTTTACGACCCAGATTGGTCCCAAGAGTGCCCTGAACGGCCATCGAGTGCCTCCCAGACATCTCCCTCTGGCCACGAGCACACAAGCACATTCCCAGTCGCTACGACCAGACGGGGGCACGGCAACGATGACACCGTACTGGCCAATGGAATAAGCGAAGCCATGAAACCATGTAGGAAACCTTCAGGCGTGCCTCTCGCGCACTCGAACTGGATTTCTGGAGGAATCCCTGGCCCGGGGTCTGGGGGCCGAGGATCTGGGCGGCATAAGCTTTCTCCTGGCGTCCTCGGAACCTTCCCTGGAGTGTTCCAAAGGGGGGCATGGATGGACGAGCATCGTTTATCCGACCCCCATCCCCACTGGCGAGGCCAGGGCCCCACTGGCCGATCTATCCCTCTAGATGGGGATAAAGGCCGTCTCCTTCGGGTCTCGAGGGGATGTACCCTACTGGGGCTGCAAAATGGTAGGGGTCTGGATGGGGATGAGGATAGGGATGTGGGGCGGCGAAGCGATACTGAAAGTAGGAGGAGGAGGAAGAGGAGGAGGAGGAGGAGGAGGAGGAGGAGGAGGAAGAGGAAGAGGAGGAGGAGGAAGAGGAGGAGGAGAAGGAGGGGGAGGAGGAGGAGGAGGAGGAGGAGGAGGAGGAGGAGGAGGAGGAAGAGGAGGAGGAGGAGGAGGGGGAGGAGGAGGAGGAGGAGGAGGAGGAGGGTTGGCGCTTGGCGCCTTGGCGTGGGTGTGCTTGCTTCGTGTCGGTGGGTCGGCGCTTGTGTTCGCTTGTTTTGTTTGCGTGAGGCTTGTACTTCCCGCTTCGCTGCAGCCGCTTCGCTGTCAAGCTGTAGTTGTGTCTTGACGTTTCGCCTTTCCCGGCATCTTGATGCCCCCATCGATGCCTAAGATACTATTCGTACTCGCCCTGGCCATGGCGCCTGGGCCGTGCACTGCCGCTCCGAAGCGTGCGCCGCACGAGAAGGAGGCTTTCGTTCTCTTCCGCTCCCAGTTGCGGGCCAGTGGACGGTTGCATCAACTTTGGCTGGAGGCGGTGACGAGTGCTCCTGCCGCCGGCCAGGCCGCCAACCATGTATATGAAGGGCTGGTCCGTGCTGAGTGGGCAGGCCTTTCGGACTTGGAGCGCATCGTATATCTTGCCCAGGCCCAGCAGGAGGCTGAGGCCAAAGAGCGTGCCCGTGTGCTCGAAGCTGATGCCAAGGGGCGCGCCCGTCTGCTCGAGGCGTTCTCGCAGTGCTCCAGCCCGTCGTGCACTGCTGCGGCGGGCACAGGCTCTGGACGCCCGAGATGGGCACGGAAAGAATGGGCATGATGCCCAACAGCAGTTCCTGTTCCCTCTGAGCTGGGTTCGCTGTCCTCGCCGCCGCGGCTTTCGGCCGCCTGCCCTACAGCGGCCGCTGTGGGTCTTTGTGTCTGCCTTTGCTGTTGGGCATTGTTCCCATTCTTTCGGTTCCTTTCTCGGGTGTCCAGACAGGCGGGACCCAACCCAGCAGCAGCGGGCCGGCGGGGCCAGATGCCGGTGCGGCCCTCGCGCCTCCCACTGGTGCCCCTGCGCAGGTGGATCCTGAGGCGGAGACTGTCCCAGGCCTCCCTGGTCTCCCCGCCGGGTCTGCCATGGCCCCTGGCCGTGTGCCGGCCGAGCCAGCAGCGGTCCCCGTGCCGCCGCCGCCGGTCTTTGGGGCCTTCCTGAACGCCGCTGCTCTGCCCTCGTCCAGCTCGTCGTCGTCGTCGTCTTCGGCGGCGCCTGGCTCGCCTCTGTCACCGGCGCCTCCGGCTTCGCCTGGCGCCCCGCACTGCAGCGGCGACGCGGCATGCAGCGAGGGGCCTCTCAGCTCACTGCTGGCGGCGGCAGCTGCGCGCACTTTGCCCTCGCACCCTGGCGTCTGCAACTCGGCCTACTCGCCGGCGCTCCTGGCCGCGGTCGGCCTCCTGCCGGCAGAGACTTTGGCAGGCTGGCTCGCCCATGCATCCATGGGACCGCCCTTCGCTGGCCTGGTGCAAGAGCTCGTGGGAGCATCGGCGGTGCCCTCCTCGGATCTCGTCTTTGCTCTGCAGTCCTTGGCTGCCGCCGCGCCCGGGCACGCCGCGCCTGCGGCCTTGGCGGCCGCTGCCCTCTTCGGGCGGCTGGCGCGCCCCGTGGGCCTTGCAGAGGTGGTCCACACCCTCCTGCTCGGGGCCAACTACCTGGACCCCTTGGTCGCCGAGGCCTTGGTGGCGGTGTACGGGGGCTCTGCACAGGGCGCCGCTGCTGCCCTCCGTGCCGCAAGTCTGCGCTGGGCTGCGGGCGCAGCGGGCGGCAGCTCGAGCGGTTCTGCGGGGGCCAGCCCGGGCGTGGCACCGGCGTCGCAGGCCACTCCCCCGTGGCGCAGTCCGCCCGCCGCCCCTCCGCCTCTGGGCGGCCCCGCTGCGTCCTCCTCTGGCTCGCCGCCTGCGTCGCTGGGGATGCCCGCGCCCCAGCCTCTTCCGCCTGCGCCGGCCAGTTCCGGGCGGCCGTGCTGCCCGCCCCCGTCGTCTGGCCCCCCGCCTGCGGCGCCCGTGCTGCCTTCGCCTCCGCTGCCCCCCTCGTCCGCCTGCTCCTGGCGGCCCAGCGGCCCGCCCTCATCGTCCGTCTCCTTGCCAGCGGCGCCGTCGCAGCACCAGCCCCAGCAGCCTCCCGCGCCTTCCGGCTCTTCGCGGCGCTCGCGGCGCTGCGCCGGCGCTGACCCCGGTAGCGCCCGCTTCCGCCGCGGGCTCCCTGCGCGTGCTGACGGGCGCGCGCTCACTGAGCAAGAGGTCCTTCAGTTGGCTGCCGCCTGCGGGCTCTACACCGACTCCCGCCAGGCA